TGATTCAAGGGGGGCCACCATCTACCCTCAAATGCTTTAGTGGTCCTCCAGATACCCTTACAGTGCTCGAGTGCCCCCTCGAAATGCCCTCAGAAGACTTCGATAGGGGCCCTCCAAGGCGTTCAGGGGCCATCCGAATACCTTCAAGGTGCATTGAGGGCCCCTCCAGATACCCTCAGCATGTGTCAGGGGCCCCTTTTTTATATACCCTTTGCACTATGCGGGCCCTTCGAAGTACCCTTGCAGAATCTGACAAGCCCCTGAAAACAACACCCCAGATACCCGTAAGAGGCCTTCAGAAAAGGTCAATTGAACTGCACGGTATCACCGCCTACCTCCTCCAAAGTCCTTCGACGTCCTCCTACGCCCTTCTCCTGCACATCCTCTTCCTGCTCCTCCTCCTCCTCCTCCTCCTCCACCTGTTCCTCCTCCTCCTCCTCCTCCTACTACCTCCTCCTCCTTCTCCTCCTCTTCCTACGTCCCCCTCCCCCTCCTCCCCCACCCTCGTGAATCATCTGGCGAAGCTTGAACGGACATGCCGGGGACTGGACCCTCCTCTCACGTCCTTCTACGTCCTCCTCCTCCTCCTCCTCCTCCTCCTCCTACCTCCTACCTCCCCCATCCTCTTCCTCCTCATCCTTCTCCTGCTTCCTCATGTTTCCTCCTGTTTCCTTCTCCTCCTCCTCCTCCTCCTCCTCCTCCTCCTCCTCCTCCTCCTCATACCTCCCCCTCCTCCTCCTGCATCATCATACATCCTCAAACTGCGCTGAAGCGGACTTGCCAGGGACCGTTCCCTGCTGGGATGCCTCTGCACATCAGCGGGACAGCGTTTACAACAATTGTGTGTACAACAATTGTGCGGGACAGCCTCTGCACTCTGTCAGAAGCTTACAACAATTTGCGTACCAAAGGCTTCTCAGAAGCCCCGTTGTACCAGAAGTCGCCCAAACGCCTTCGCGAAACCTCCCGCAAGCCTGTCAAAAGCCTCTCAGCATCCTTTCTGTCTCCCAGAATACTTGTCATAAGCCACTGGCGAATCTCCCAGAAGTCACTGACCAGCCTCTCGGAAGCCAACCATGCGTGTCTCTCTTTTGTTTTCGTTCAGCCGCCTATCATAAGCACTCGGCTGGTCGGAGGTGGGGGGGTGAGATCGAAGTGGAACGGAGAGCCCCCCTAGCGGGAAATCGATGTCGGTTTCGTGATCGTGCGTGCCGTGCGTGCGGGCGAGGCGAAGCTGCGTGGGCGGGCGGGCGAGAAAACGTCTCCTGTCGCTGAGGCGCGGCCGGACCAAATGACTCCCCTCGGGGGCGCGGGGCCCCGCGGTGTCCCGCCGGTGTCCCGCTGGTGTCCCGTGTCGCTGAGGCGCGGCCGGACCAAATGACTCCCCTCCGGGGCGCGGGGCCCCGTGGTGTCCCGCTGGTGTCCCGCCCGTGTCCCGTCGGTGTCCCGTCGGTGTCCCGATGATGATGATGATGATGATGATGATGATGATGATGATGATGATGATGATGATGATGATGATGATGCTGATGATGATGATGATGATGATGATGATGATGATGATGATGCTTATGTTGATGATGATGATGATGGTGATGATGATGGTGATGATGATGATGATGGTGCTGAATATGATGATGATGGTGATGGTGATGGTGATGGTGATGATTATGATGATGATGATGATGCTGATGATGATGCTTATGTTGATGATGATGATGATGATGATGATGATGGTGATGATGATGGTGATGATGATGGTGCTGAATATGATGATGATGATGATGGTGATGGTGATGGTGATGGTGATGATGGTGATGATGATGATGATGATGATGATGATGATGATGATCGAGTGTGAGATCGATGGTGAGATCGAGTGTGAGATCGATGGTGACTTCGACAGTGAGATCGATCGAGTGAGATCGAAAGTGAGATCGATAGTGGAAGCGATAATGAGATGTCGTCGTCGTCGTAGTCGTCGTCGTCGTGGGTCGTTGGTCATTGCTGGACCGGGGTGCCGAGTGACAATTGCCTGAAGCTCCGGGCCGTTTTCGTGGCGTCGTCGTCGTCGTGGTCGTCGTCGTCGTCGTTATCGTCGTCGTCGTTGTCGTCGTCGTCGTCGGTGCCCCAACACTTGCCCAGGGGGCTCCGAGAGGACCCCAAGACGGCCCCAAGAGGGCCCCAAGACGGCCCCAAGACGGCTCCAGTATTCTGTGACCAGATGCCGCCGTTGGCTGCCGTTGGGCTGGTTGGGCAGGTTCCCAGCGGGAGGGACGAATGGTACCAAGGCGCCAAAGAACGAAGGGTGATGTAAACAACTCGACACCGACGCTCCCAAGACCGAGCGGCGACGCAACACTCTCCATTGGCATCGTCACAACAACAATCACAACTGTTGCCCATTGCTGGGACCCTCCCCACCCCCCAACCTCCTTATCACCCGCAAGGTGGTCGTATAGGTATTCTAACATGCTAGCCAGCCCTGTGGCAGAGTTCGTATGTGTCCCTCCGCCCATGTGGGCACACACCTCACACGCTCTGAGGCCCCATGGGGAGCTCCACCGAAGGCTGCCGTGGCAGGGTTTGCATGCGTTCCCCCGCCCATCTCGGCACACCCATCCCACGCTTCGTGGCCCCACAGGGTGAACCACCGAAGGCCTCAGCGGCACGGTTCACATGCGTCCCCACGCCCATCTGGGCACACACACGCACTCACGCACACACACACACACACACACACACACACACACACACACACACACGCACACACTCACACACACACGCACACACACACACACACACACCACGCGCTTTGTAGCCCCGCAGGGAGCTCCACCGAAGGCCCTAGCAATATAGGGTTCGCATGCGTCCCCCCGCCCATATCGGCACTCCCACGCTTCGTGGCCCCACAGGGAGCTCCACCGAAGGCCCCAATGGCAGGGTTCGCATGCAACCCAACGCCCACGTCGGGACACCCAGCACGCGCCTCGTGGCCCCATGGCGAGCTCTCCCCTCCTTCGTCCCACCTGCCTTGCGGTACGCACACTTACATGTGGGTGGGTTCTTCGCCAAGCGAGCGTGGCAAGTGTGGACCCCAACAGCGAGTTACTGCACGTTGGAATCGGAGGTTGGGGGGTGAGATCGAAGTGGAACGGAGAGCCCCCCTAGCGGGAAATCGATGTCGGTTTCGTGATCGTGCGTGCCGTGCGTGCGGGCGAGGCGAAGCTGCGTGGGCGGGCGAGAAAACGTCTCCTGTCGCTGAGGCGCGGCCGGACCAAATGACTCCCCTCGGGGGCGCGGGGCCCCGCGGTGTCCCGCCGGTGTCCCGCTGGTGTCCCATGTCGCTGAGGCGCGGCCGGACCAAATGACTCCCCTCCGGGGCGCGGGGCCCCGCGGCATCCCGCCGGTGTCCCGCCCGTGTCCCGTCGGTGTCCCGTCGGTCCCGATGATGATGACAATGATGATGATGATGATGATGATGATGATGATGATGATGATGATGATGATGATGATGATGATGTTGATGATGATGATGGTGATGATGATGGTGATGATGATGATGATAAATTTGAAGATGAAGATGATGATGATGATGATGGTGATGGTGATGGTGATGGTGATGATGATGATGATGATGATGATGATGATGATGATGATGATGATGATGGTGATGGTGATGGTGATGGTGATGGTGGTGATGATGATGATGATCGAGTGTGAGATCGATGGTGGTCGAGAGTGAGATCGATGGTGACATCGACAGTGAGATCGATCGAGTGAGATCGGAAGTGAGATCGATAGTGGAAGCGATAATGAGATGTCGTCGTCGTCGTAGTCGTCGTCGTCGTCGTCGTCGTGGGTCGTTGGTCATTGCTGGACCGGGGTGCCGAGTGACAATTGCCTGAACCTCCGGGCCGTTTTCGTGGCGTCGTCGTCGTCGTGGTCGTCGTCGTCGTCGTCGTTATCGTCGTCGTCGTTGTCGTCGTCGTCGTCGGTGCCCCAACACTTGCCCAGGGGGCTCCGAGAGGACCCCAAGACGGCCCCAAGAGGGCCCCTAGACGGCCCCAAGACGGCTCCAGTATTCTGTGACCAGATGCCGCCGTTGGCTGCCGTTGGGCTGGTTGGGCAGGTTCCCAGCGGGAGGGACGAATGGTACCAAGGCGCCAAAGAACGAAGGGTGATGTAAACAACTCGACACCGACGCTCCCAAGACCGAGCGGCGACGCAACACTCTCCATTGGCATCGTCACAACAACAATCACAACTGTTGCCCATTGCTGGGACCCTCCCCACCCCCCAACCTCCTTATCACCCGCAGGGTGGTCGTATAGGTAACTCTGCGGTGAGTATAAGCAGTATTGGATAAGCTCTGCGGTGTGGTGTGTTTTTTTGAAAGCTATGTTGTGTAGGCTAGAGTGCCCCAAGACGACCCTACAGACCTCCAAGGCGGCTCCAAAGTTCCGAAAGAAAGCCCCATGAGACTGCTTCCGAACACTTAGGGGCCCGTCAGAAGCGCCCAGATACCCCACGGAGCCCCCAGGAGGCCCTTAATGGCCCCCAAGACGCTCCCAGAAAGCCCCCAGGAGGCCCCAAGAGGCCCACAAGAGGCATCCTCTTCCTCTTCCTCCTCCTCCTCCTCCCCCTCATTCTCCTCTTCCTTCTCCTCTTCCGACTGTTCCTCCAGCAATTTCCACAACGGCTGGGGGAACATATAGTCCGATAGCTTGGCCAAGGTTTTGCCCAACTTTTGGCCACATCGGCGTATCCGGAAATTCATGGGGCGATAGTGGCTCAGCATCGTCGGCTTCGACAATGATGTGTTCTTCAATTGCGGTAACCTGTCCTGATCAAGACATTCCGACTACATAGGACTTCGACGCGAATCCAGCCGTGGCCAGACAACCCCAGGAGGTTTGAAAAGAAAAAGGAGAGCCCTCCCCCTCACCCCCCCCATCCTCACTCCCCACCCCCTCTTCAATGGGTTCTGAGCTCATGACAAGATCGCCATTCACTGTAAACTTCCGGACGGCGTCGTCCGAGCCGAGGTAGATGGACGTCTCGTCGTCGATGAGGGGAGCTCCGACTGGGATGCTGTTGTAGACTCCGTTCGGATGGTGCCAGCCTAGGGAGAGAAACGGAAGATCGACTTCTCCGGTAGAAAGCACAGGGAGAGAGAGAGAGAGAAAGAAAGAAAGAGAGAACGCGAGAAAAACACACTGAGTATAGGGAGAGACAAGGAGAGACAGAGAGAGATATACACAGAAAAACAAAATACTTGTGACCCTGGTCGTATCATATGAATGAAACAGTCTGTTCGCCGGCGTGAATCACAAACCGTGTGGTTCTGGCATTATATGTGGTGCAATTCTAGTGGGGCCATACATGTGGTGCAATGCTTGCAGTGCGATGCACGTTATACAGTAGATGTTGCGTGAAATATGTTGTGTGGTCTATGATGTGCCACATACGTGGTGCAACCCATAGTTTGCAATATATGTTGAGCGATCTGTGTTGTACAACATACGTACTGTAATATATGTGGTACCACATATATCTATGTATATGTATGTATATGTGGAGCAATCGGTGTTGTGTGATCTATGTGGTGCAGTTAATTTTTACCCATGATGTGACACATCCCACGCTCTTGCAAACATCCCACCCACCAACCCGCAACCTGGTTTGCAAAACCTCTCAAGACCGACTACGACGACACCGACGACAACGACTACGACGACACCGACGACGTCTCCGACGACTTCGACGACGACAACGACGCCGACGCCGACGACGACGAAGACGACGACGACGTCGCCAACGAAGACGACGACGAGGGAGGAGGGAGGACGACGACGGCGACAACGACGACAACGACGACGACAACGAGGGAGGAGGGAGGACGGCGACGACGCGAACGACGAAGAAGGAGGAAGGACGGCGACGCCGACGACGACAACGACGAGGGAGGAGGGAAGACGACGACGACAACGACGACGACGACGACGACGCGACGAAATAGGAGGGACGACGACGAGACGCCGACGACGGACGACGACGACGACGAGGGAGGAGGAGGAAGGACGACCACGGCGACAACGACGACGGAAACGACCACGACGCCAAAGAGGACGACGACGACGAACACGAGGAAAGACACAGGACGACGTAGGCGACGACGACGACGACGACGACGCGGGAGGAGGGAGGATGGCGACGAAGACGACGACGACGCCGCAAGAGCGCGCGCGCACGCTTTTGTTGAAACTCCGTGTTACGAAACCTTGTGTTTTTTTGTAGGTTTTTTGGACGCGCGATTTTGAAATCCTTCCGAAACTGATTGGTTTTGAAGGATTTCGGCGTACGCGCGCGACGACGCGCGCGTCTGCACTTCGTCCCATTTTTTGCAGCGGGTTCTCGCGACGGCACACGCGCAAGGGCGTTCGACAGATTTTGACACGCGCTCGCGCGACGCCCGTTTGGTAGCATGTTTAAAAAAATCTTGAAAAACGAATGGGTTTCCTGATTTTTTTCGCAAAGGGTTCGCGCGTAAGCTTTTTTAGCAAATCAGTGTTACGAAACCCCGTATTGTTGTATGTTTTTTGGAAACTCGATTGCGAAATCCTTTTGGCACCGAAATGTTATGAAGGATTGCGGCATGCGCGCGCGACGACGCGCGCGTGTGCACTTCGTCACATTTATTGCAAGGGAGTCGTGAACAAGTGCAATGTTAGAACAAAAATGTCACCGCATAGTGCTTTTCACCAGGGAACCTCGGGGGGGATACCGGCTGGCCTGGGACATTGCGATTTCATATTTAGGATGGACATGTGGGCAGAATCGTATATGATTTACATACCCGAAAGGGGTACCGATAACGCCGGGGGGGTAGAGTCTATTTTATATATATAAGGAGAATCTACGCTGTGCAATCTATGTGGTGCCGTCTATGTGGTGAACATTGGTTTTAACAAACGAACTGACACATCCCACGCTCCTGCAAACATCTCACCCACCCACCCACAACTTGGTTTGCAAAAGCCACACGGTGGCGATTGCGATGCATGCGTGGCGTTGGCTTGTGCATGCAGCCGCGCAAGCCCGAGCACGCGCGCGCAGCGGCCAGCAAACTTTGGCGCGACCCGCGCGGCCGCGGTGGCGCTGACCGCTGAGACGTCCTAGCGGGAACTCCACTTCGAGTCGGCGACGTGGGTCGGCGCGGTATGATGGCAACGTCGACAACAGTAGACACGATGATGATATAAGCGATGCTGGTGACGATTTTGACAAGGACGACGGCGCGGCCACCGCGGGTGCCGATGCTAATCGCGCCGACAACGATGACGGCGTCCTCGCCTCGGTGATAAACAAGTTTTGTAATAAGTTCGACATGCGCGCGCGGCCGGCGCGCGAGAGTGGCCCGCATGATATTATTTGACAAAGATCGTGCCCCCCCAGCGCGCGCGTGCGAATGATTTCAGCATCCGGCGCCAGGGGCCTGTTTGGCAGAACTCCATGAACATGTTGAAAACAGACCTATGGTTTCCTTAGGTATTCGCAAGAGCGCGCGCACGTATTTTGTGAAAACTGGTATTGCGAAGCCATGTTATTTATTTATGTGTTTTGGACACTGCGTTTTGAAATCGTCACGAAGCCGATGGGTTTTGAAGGATTTTGGCATGCGCCCGCGACGACGCGCGCGCGCACTTCGTCCCAATTTTCGCCGAAGGGTTCTCGAGACGGCACGCGCGCAGGGGCGTCGGATCGGTTTCGACATGCTCGCGCGCGCGAAGCCCGTTTGGTAGCATTTTCTGGAAGTGATGAAAAACTGATGGCTTTCCTAAAAGTTCGCAAGTGTTGGCGCCAGGTGTCCGTTTGACAATTCCATGAACATGTTGAAAAATTGGTTTTCATGAGGATTCGCTAGATTTGTTTGCAAATCCGCGTTGAGAAGCCACGTGTTCTTCACATGTGTTTGGACACTGGATTTTGAAATCTTTACGAAGCCAGGAATGTTTGAGGAATTTCGGCATGCGCGCGAGACGACGCGCGCGTGTGCACTTCGTCCAACTTGTTGCATGGGGTTCATGGAAACTAATAACTGTTGATAAACATTTGCGCGAACATGATATTTCCTGCAACGGCTGAGCGGGGGATCTGGGATGGTCCGAGTTGATATTTAGGATGGGCGATGGAGCAGAATCGTATTTTCATTACACATTTCTAGGGCGTGCCGATAACTCCGGCCTCGGGAGGGTAGTGGAGTTTATTTTCTTTTAGAAAAGAGAATCCAGCGGTGGCGACTGGCGGCGATGAGGCGGCGACGGGGTCGAGACGGCGACGACATAGCCGCCAGACCGACCAGACGGTCCAGGCAACGAGCAGCGACGAGGCGGCGACGGAGCGGCTACAGCGACAACATAGCCGCCAGACCGCCCACACGGACCAGTTCCTTGGAGGACAAGTAAGATGCCCTAAGATCAAGCACTGTGCGGGGAATGTTGGAATATATAGGGAGTGAAGCAGAATGCGAGAATGGACAGTACAGAGGACTGAGTTTCGATAGAAGAATATAAAGCAGCGCAGAGGAGAGAAGCGAGGACAAACTCTCTCTCTCTCTCACTTGCAGTATCTCTTTGTCTTACTTCTCTCTCGCTCTCTCTCTCTCTCTCTCTCTCTCTTTCTCTTTTTCCCTCGCACAATATCGTTGTCACCCTCTCTCCCTCTCATTATCTGTGTCAGTCCTTCGATCGCTGCATGATGTTATGCTTATTCTGCGTCTCGTTCTTTCTCCCTAGTTTACTGTCTGGTCGTCGCTTTCTCTCTCTCTCTCTCTGTCTCTCCCTTGTTTCTCTCTCTCTCTCTATCTCGCTTTCCCTCTCGCTCCCCGTATATCTATACACATCTATATATATATATATATATATATATATATATCCATCTGCACGTATGTGCATGTATCTATATGCATACATGTATTTCTGATACTAGACATACGCATCGAGCATACGTGCAAGCAAGCTGTATATATGAAAACATATATATCCCTCTCTCTCACACTCTCTCTCTCTCTGAATCTCTCCCGCTTCTTATATAATACCTCTCTCTCTACTACGGTGATTTTCCCTCTCTCTCTCTCGCTCTCTATTTTTCTCCCTACCCTCACAGCTCGCCCTGTTCCCTCTATTATGTTACGTGTGCCGGAACATGTGTATGTATAGATCGTGCGCGCACGGGTTGGATGTCTCCTTCTCTCTCTCTCTCTCTCACACACACTCTCTCTCCTTCTGACCACATGTGATCTCTAACTGATGTTCGGCATTTGCACTTACTGACTGTGCCTGGACCTCCTGGCCCGGGAATCTGGAAACCCCGGAACCCAGCCACCGTTGGGAATATGAGACCCTGGAGCCGGGAATCTGGGACCCCGGCAGCAACCGGCTGGACACCTTCATCTACCCATCTACCGTTACACTATCCGCTAGGACCCCTTCAGAGCAAGCGCTGGTTGGGGAAACACTAACTGAGAGCCCAAGGCCCCCGTTTACAACATTCTGGGGCTCTCTTGGACGCTGCTGGGGCCCTCCTCCCCTCCTCCTCGGCCTCCTCCCAGTCCCTCCTCCCCCCTCGAAAGCTGGTTGTCGAAAGAATCCGTGCTCGAACACTCTTTGGGGGGCGTCGCCCTGGACGTCGGCCCACGAGGCCGACATCACTGAACAACCTTACTTCGGACCAATCTTGGCGGCGAGGGAGGGAGGGAAGCGAAAAGGGGCGGGCCTTTTCAGGAGGCTCGGAAGTCCCTGGGCCTTCTGAAAAGTTGTCTAAGCCTTCCCCGAAGACCCCAATAAACTTCTCAGAAGGTGCGAGGGCTTCTGAGAATCCCGACGCCTTCTGAAAAGGCCTTCTCCTTCTCACTTCCCACCCTCGCTCGCTGCTGACAATCCTCCTGTGTCGTTGGCTCCTTGTTCTCAGCACGCAGCGCCCCCATCGCCCCCATCGCCCCTGCTCTCCGTCCGCAAGCATACTTCGGTGAGCTCGTATGCCGCCCCCCGTCGATTTCGGCGCACACCTCGCACGCTTCGAAACTATCATAGTGGCTTCCGACCAAACCACCCCAACCCAACCTGAAGACCCGAATTTCGGGTTGGGGGCGGGGTACGGCTTCGGCAAGTGTTTCTTTCAATTTCCCCCCCGCTGGGAAGACGGTCGAATCGCCACAGATACCGTGCACGTGGTGACTTTGATGTGCACGCTGTTCGTGGATGGTATAGGGTACTTCGAAACATGGGTGCATTCCATACGCCGTTGTGCCGCGTTTAGCGTGCACGTCCGACGTCTGAGACAAGCACGTTTAGCGTGAACGCCGGATGTCTCAAAACATATCAACGTTTAGAGCGCACCTGTTTTTTCAGAATGTCGATCTGGCTCAGCAGTCCCTGGAACTACACCTGGCCTTGCGGCCCCCGCAGGCCCGAGCCACTTCTGCCTCCTCCTCACTCTCCCCCTCCTCCTCCTCCTCCTCCTCCTCCTCCTGGAATGGCGAGCTGGAAGGCGAGCTGCAGGTGGAATGGCGAGCTGGAGGTGGAATGGCGAGCTGGAGGTGGAGGACGCGTACAGAGTGCACCCCCCGAGGGGCGCCATACGAGCATGTCGCTCGGAGGAGGGGGGGTAGGGGACGGAGTGGAGAGGTGAGCCGAATAGTAATCGTATAGAGTGCACGTGGCAATGTAAACATATCGCCAACGTAAAACGTTTTGCGTGCAGGTCCGCTTTGAGACATGGACAACGTATAGCGTGCACGCATATGTTGATTGGCTTCCAAAGTGGTTTTGACCAGGGGAGTCGTCGTATAGTGTGCACGGTAACCGAAAATGTTTTTTCCCATCAAGGGGGGTCGTGCACGCTAAACGTGGCGACTTGACCGTAGGGGGCAAATTGAAGCCTTCGGGTTGGGTTGGGGTGGTTTGCCCGCATGCCGTCGTGTGCCGCCCCCCCCCCCAACCCCTTCAGCGCACCCTCACTCGTTTCGTGTCCCCACACCCCCCACGAGAACTCGAACCACACACCTCCTGCGACGCGTAATAAACTAGGAGAGGGCCATGCCTTGCGGCACGCGCAGTTGCACAGAGGATGGCCATTCGCCAGGGCATTTAGGACTGGGTTTAGCACTGCCGGCCCTTCGGCGTTAAGATCGTCCAAGGCGGCCGAATAACCGCCCAACGATTGGCCCGAGACGGCCCCATTGGCCCCAAAGGGGACCAAGGGGCCCCCACGCCGGCCTCAAGGGGAGCTCAAGATGGGGTGCCCCAGCAGGCATCTCGAGGCCTCCTCCCAATGGTACCTTTCAGAACGTGAGCAGGGCCCTCAAAAACCCAAGAGCCCCGAGAAAGGCTTCTAAGAGGCCCCCAAGACGCACCAAAATACCTCCGAGCTTAGCTGACCCGTTACGCAACACGCAATATGTAGCGTATTGCCACGGAGCTCAATACGTAGACTGAAAACGTAGGTCTGACGCGATGCTTCCGCCAAAGCGCGGGCCAATACGTTGAGCCAACACGCAACGTATTGACGCAAACGTTTTGAGTAAGGTGCGTGTTGCGTCCCAAAACGGGCGCATCGAGGCAGCTAAGCCTCCGAGAGGTCCCCACGGAGGCCCCACAAGAGACCCCCAAGCAACCCCCACGGCCACCCAGGAGACCCCCCCCCAGAGGCTCTTACGGGGCCTCCTGCCAACGACAAAGATGGGCCGAGTGCCACTGGACAATTGCAACATACGCCAGCTGGCGGCCTGGCCCCCTGCAGAAAAGCTGCCGAATCGGGCGCCATCGAGACTGCTTCCTTCATCCTCCTCCTCGTCCTCCTCCTCCCTCTCTTCCTCCCCCTTCTCCTCCTCCCATTCTTCCTCCCCCTCCTTCTCCTCATCCCTTTCTTCCTCCCATTCTTCCTGCCTCTCCTCCTCCTCCTCCTCGTCCTCCTCCTCCTCCTCGTCCTCCTCCTCCTCCTCTCCCCTCCTCCTCTCCTCCTCCTCCTCCTCCTCCTCTCCCCTCCTCCTCCTCCTCCTCCTCTCTCCTCCCTCCTCCTCCTCCTCCTCCTCCTCCTCCTCCTCCTCTCCTCCTCCTCCTCCCTCCTCCTCCTCCTCCCTCCTCCTCCTCCTCCTCCTCCTCCTCCTTCTCCTCCTCCTCCTCCCTCCTCCTCCTCCTCCTCCTCCTCCTCCTCCTCCTCCTCCTCCTCCTCCTCCCCTCGTCCTCCACCTCCTCCTACTTTTTCTATTTCTGCTCCTCCTCCTCCTCCTCCTCCTCCTCCTCCTCCTGGTCCTACTCCTCCTGGTCCCCCCCGGCCCACCTCGGCCTCCGCCTCAGCCCCCTCCTCTTCGTGCCACCTCCCCCGCTCGTACTCCTGCTGGCCATCCTCCTGGTCCTCCTCCTCCTGAACCTGCTTTTCCCTGTCCTCCCTGGCCATCCTACTTTCCATGTCCTCCTGTCCTGCTTTCCCTGCTTTCCTCCTGGCCATCCTCCTGATCCTTCCCTCCGCGCAGAAGGGGGGGGGAGGGAGAGCGGGAGGGGAGGCCGAGGAGGAAGAGGGAGAGGAGGAGAACGAGGCAGCAGCGGGGTGGTGCGCAGGGGTGGGAATTGGTCAACTCACACGAAAGAGTTCCGAGGTGTTGCCCCCCCACCCACCCCCCCGGGGCCGCTCAAGAAGCTGCCCCCCCCCCCACCCGGGCCGGTCAAGAAGGTGAGGCTCATGAGGGAGAAAAGGACGGGAGGGCATACAGCTGCGGCTGTCAGCGCGCAAATCCTCCACATCATGAAACCTGCTCTCCCGCAACGGTCCACTCCCCCCCCCCTCCCTCCCTCCTGACTCCTCCCTCCTCGCTCCCTCGACTCCCCTCCTCGCCCATCTCCTCATCCCCTCTCCACGCCTCAACATGCCCCTCCATCCATCCAGCTATCCTCCTCCTGCCTCCCGCCTCCCGCCTTCCTCCTCCCTCCATCCCCACTCCATCTTTCCATCTCTTCCTTGTCCCTCCTCTTTGGTTAATCATACCCCTCCCTCAGCTCCCTCCTAGCTCCCTGTCCTCCCATCCCCTCTCCCCCTCTTCATCCCTCGTCTGGTTCCTTCACGTTCTCCTCCCTCCGCACCCTCTCTCTCGCCCTCTCCGTCCTTCCCCCAACATCCTCCTGCCTCGCTCATCCCGCCGCGTTCCCTCCCTTCCCCTCCCTTCCCCTCCTCGGTTCCCTGCCCGAGGTGGCCCCAGGACACATTCTGCGAGAAGTCGGCGGCGCCCTTGTACCTGGAAGCGCCCTCGTTCCCGGGGTCGGGCCAGAAAAACCCGCTCTTCTTGCGGAACCTCTTGGCCTTCGCAGGATTGTACCTGCTAAAGCGAAGGGAAAGGAGCATGACGCGGATGACGAAGATGATTTGGGTGGTGGAGGAGGAGAACCGAAGAGGACGAGAAGGAGGAGGTACACAGGGACAAGGGTGAGTAAGTCGGGGATGTGGAGGAGGAGGGGAGTGATGAGGCTGCGGGTGAGGAGAAAGAGCGGTTGGAAGGACGGATAAGGAGGGGGGTGATGAGGACGAGAACGATAATAAGGGTAAGGATGATAATGATGATGATGATGATGATGATGATGATGATGATGATGATGATGATGATGATGATGATGATGATGATGATGATGATGGTGATGATGATGATGATGATAATGGTGGTGGTGGTGGTGATGATGGTGATGTGCTGATGCTGATGCTGATGCTGATGATGATGAGGATGATCGAGGTGATGGCCGTGATGCTGACGATGATGATAGTGGTGCTGATGATGGTGATGATGATGGTGACGGTGATGGTGATGATGATGCTGCTGATGATGATGGTGACGATGGTGATGGTGATTGTGACGGCTGTGGTGGTGGTGATGATGGATGGTGGCTGATGGATGACGGATGGTGACGCTGCTGCTGATTATGATGGGTGGGGGTGGGTGGGGGGGAGACCATGAGGAAGAGGATGCTGCTGCTGCTGCGGATGCTGCTGCTGATGACGTTGACGACGACGATGATGATGCTGATGCTGATGCTGTTGCTGCTGCTGCTAATGATGCTGCTGCTGCTGATGATGAGGATCAGGATGAGGATGAGGATGAGGATGAGGATGAGGATGAGGATGAGGATGATGGTGATGATGATGATGATGATGATGATTATTATTATGAAGGCTGGGGTGGGGGGTGGGGGTGGAGGGAGGGGAAGATCAGGAGGAAGAGGGGCGGACGGCTAAGGAGTGACAGTGAGGAGGAAGGGAGAGGAGAAGGGGGATGTGGTATGGAAGAGGGAGGAGTAAGAAGGAAGGTGAAGAGGGAGGAGGACGGATAAGGAGCGTGGAGGAGGGGGGAAAAGAAAGGGGAGACGCAATGATCAGCAGGAGGGAGAAGAGAAAATAATGACTAATATCAGGAAGCGCGTAAGAGACAGACGGGGATGGTCGGGAGACAAGAGAAGAGAGGGAAGGGCAAAGAAAAGATAAGACGAAGGAGGAGGTGGAGAATGATGAAGAGACTCTGATGTGACGACCCAGACCCCCGACATGTTTTTTTCGTAACGTCGACCCCCAGAAGTCTGGACCCCTTCCCTGGGACCGGGTTTGCGCCTCCGCCCAGGGGGGCCGCGGCCCATCCCCCCAAGGATCCGCCGCTCGCTCCTCCTCCGCCTCCTCCGCCTCCTCCTCCTCCTCCGCCTGCGCCTCCTCCGCCTCCTCCTCCGCCTCCTCCTCCTCCTCCTCCGCCCCCTCCTCCTCCTCCTCCGCATCCTCCTCCTCCTCTTCCTCCTCCTCCTCCTCCTCCGCCAAGGCCGAGGCTGTGGGCCGCTTTCGGTCGGGGAGTTATGCTGACCCGGGTCCATCCAGACCAGTGTCGATCAGGCTTTCTCTGCAGGGGCCTGCAAGAGGCTGCGGGATCATGCAGGAGTCTGCGCCCAAGCCCGGGCCAGCGCAACCCTCAGCAGAGGAGGGCGAGCTCAAGTATTGTTTAGCCTCAAGGACGGGCGGCTTCCCAGGGTCACCCTTGCATCCTTCCCCCTCGGCCCATCCTTGGCTGCTTTCGCTGGCCGTGCCTCGCTCGCAAAACGTCGACATGGTATTCAAAGGCCCTTGCGTCCTTGTCGCGCATCCTGATCAAACGGGCTGACCGTCAGTCGGGGAGACGTAAGACTCGGGCACGGGGGACTCGGGTCGGCCTGACGGGGCCATCATGAAAATGACGAGACCCAGCCTGGCATCTGACGTGAGAGCTCCCGCCGCAGACATCCCGCGAAAACTGGGCCGTCAGAATCCAGGATGCCCTTGCCAAAATGCGTCGGCACTCGCTCTGACGTTTCCCCGATCGGTCGGCGGCGAGCGACGGGGGGGAAGTGAGAACGAGAAGGCCTCCTCAAAGGCGGCGGGATTTCTCAGAAGCGCCCCGGCCTTCCAAGAGGTTCTTCGCGTCTTCGGGAAAGGCTCAGAAAACTTCTCAGCAGGCTGGGGGACTTCCGAACCTTCTGGGAAGGCCCGCCCCGTCTCACTCCCCCCCCCCATCCCTCGCCGCCTAGATTGGTCCGAGCTAAGGCTGTTCAGTGATGCCGGCGTCGTGGGCCGACGTCCAGGGCGACCCCCCCAGACGAGTGCTCGAGCACGGACCCTTTAGACAACCACCCTTCGATAGGGGGGAGCAGGAGGGGGGGGAGGAGGTCGAGGGGGAGAAGGGAGAAGGGAGCAATGACTTCCGAGCCTGCCGAGAAGGCCCGCCCCGTCTCGCCTTCCCGCCCCCCCACCGGCTCGCCGCCAGGTCAAGGAGCAGGCAGCGGGCAGCCGCACGCCCGCCGGAGGGCGGCCCCGCCGCTGCCCCCCCCCCCCCCCCCGCGATCGCTGCTGCTGCTGCCTGCTGCTGCCTGCTGCTGCCTGCTGCCTGCTGCTGCTGCTGCTGCTGCTGCTGCTGCTGCTGCTGCTGCTGCTGCTGCTGCTGCTGCCTGCTGCCTGATGCTACTGCTGCTGCTGCTGCTGCTGCTGCTGCTGCTGCTGCTGCTGCTGCTGCTGCTGCTGCCTGCTGCTCTGCTGCCCGCCGTGGGCGCGGCGGGCTCGGAAGGGCTCTGCCCTTCGGCGAGGGCGAAGAGGAGCCCCAGACGCAGGATAAGGGATCAAAGAACAGAAACCACTGCATGATCATTGGCCGCGTCCTCGTCCTCGTCCTCCTCGTTCTCCATACAGTGGACGAGGACGAGAAAGACGGGGACGAGAACCACCCAAGCGGTCGAGGCCGGCACCGCGGCAGACCGACGGCTAACTCTGTATCCGAGGCGGGGTTTGCCCTCTGGTGCCCGCGGCGCCCTCCCCGCAAGGCCGCGCGTCGGAACAAACGGCGCGGCGACATATTAGCATGGGGGAGCATCGCGTATCCTCGTCTCTATCAGGGAGGCGTCGTGACCGAAGCTGTGCCCGAACATCTACCCGAGTGTGACCGAAACTGGCGCCCGAAATTGTCCGGCCGCGCCCGAGTGTGACCGATATGCTTGGTCCGAAAGCAAGACGATAGTCGATTGCGGTCGCAACTTCGGTCACGCTACGTTTTCGGTCACACCTTCGGGCGCGTTTTCGGACACCGATTGCTGTTCGGTCACCCACATTTTCGTCTGATGCGGGCGGGGCGCTGTGCCACGAGAAGCAGGTCCTGAGGGCAACGGGTCCTGGACCCTGGGGGCCTTCCCCCGGGACCAGTTCTGCATCCTGAGCTGTTTTCCGACAGTCCCCCGGGCCCATGGAAGGCCCCGGATCTCAGGACCAGTTTCCCTCAGAACCCGCTCTCTTCCCCCACGGCAAGCACAACAACGTTTGGAGGTCCGCCAGGGAGGCCCCAGCACTGGCCCGGGAGAGTCACGCGGACCTCCAACAGTTCGCGCTCATGCCGCTCTTCGCTCCTCTCGACGAGGAGTAGGAGTAGGACTAGGAGTAGGGCCAGGGGGAGGAGGAGGAGGAGGAGGAGGAGGAGGAGGAGGAGGAGGAGGAGGAGGATCAGGAGGAGGAGGAGGAGGCGGAGGAGGAGGCTGAGGAGGGGGACGAGGAGCACGCAGAGCGAGGAGAACGACGAGGAGGACGAGAGGACGAGGCACCCCTCCACCCCTTCCCGCGGACGGACCGCGTGACGCCGTTCCGGTTCATCACGCCGAGCACGCTGTCCCCAGCGTAGACCATCTGGGGGCCCATCGAATCGCCCTCCTCCGGGACGGGCGAGCGAGGGCAGAGGGGCAGGGGAGGGAGGGGCGGAGGGAGGGGGGGGCGAAGGGCGTGCTCGCGTCGTGACACGAATCGACTCCTCAGGACTCGGGATGACAAGCTGGCCCTGATCATCGTCATCCGCCTCGCTCGTCGGGGACATGTTGGATCAGCGACCGCTGACTGACGGCTTCTGAACCTGGCGACGGATGCCAAAATCCATACAAACAAATTTACATATACCAGAACCATCGCGCGCGCTTCGCGCGCGCTCAGGTTTTAGCAGGCCCCAGGCCTTCACGAATTCACTGCTCCACTGAAGTGGTGGACCACAGATGATTTGAACGGGAAGTGAAGAAGTGCCCATAACGCTGAACGCATTATGGGCAGTGAGAAGTCCATGCATGTCAATCCGCATTCCGGAAGGCTTTCGGGGAAGATGGTTGCGTAGGGGGGGAGGCCTGATGAATCGGGTTCCCCGAAGGCCTTCTGGGAACATGGGTTTGGGGGGCGTCTTGGGGAGCCTGTTGGGGCGTGCTGTCGTCGTCGTCGTCGTCGTCGTCGTCGTCGTCGTCGTCGTCGTCGTAATGTCGTTGCCTCTTAGGGCGCGCCGTTGTCGTCGTCGTCGTCGTCCTCGTCGTCGTCGTCCTCGTCTTCGTCGTTTTGTCGTCTTCGTCTTCGTCTTCGTTGTTGTCGTCGTCGTCGTCGTCGTCGTCGTCGTCGTCGTCGTCGTCGTCGTCGTCGGTGGTTCAATATGGCACTTGGGGCAACTTTGTGCGAAACGATCAGCGGAGGGCCGCGAGAAGGCGATCAGCCATGTTCCCAGTCAACTTCCCAGACAGCTCTCCGGTAACGTGATGGTTATTCGGAGCCTCTGGAGACTCTCGGGCCCATGCTGAACCATGTCCCCAGAAGGCTTTCTGGGAACATGATTTGTTGGAGTGTGTTGGGGGGCCTCGTGGGCGTTCCCTGGGGGCCCCTTGGGGTCCTCTTGCGGCTTCCTGGGGGCCGCTTGGGCGCCTCACGGGGCTTCGTGGATCTTGGAGCTCAGAGTTGCGAGAATGTCTTGTGCGAAACAGGCCGGACCACCTTGCGCACGGCATCTCAGAGCTCAGAGTTGCGAGGATGTCTCAGGCGAGACGGGCCGGACCACCTCGCGCAGGGCATCTCAGAGCTCAGAAGTTCGAGGATGTCTCAGGCGGGCTCCCAGGGTCACAAGAGGATATGTAACACTTCTGGGCCCCCAGGCTGGACCACCTCTTGCGCGGCATCTGGGAGCTCAGAGTTGCGAGAATGTCTTGTGCGAAAGAAACAAACCGGACCATCTTGCGCACGGCATCTCAGAGCTCAGAGTTGCGAGGATGTCTCAGGCGAGACGGGCCAGACCACCTCGCGCAGGGCATCTCAGAGCTCAGAGTTGCGAGGATGTCTCAGGCGAGACGGACCAGACCACCTCGCGCAGGGCATCTCAGAGCTCAGAAGTTTCGAGGATGTTTCAGGCGAAACGGGCCGGACCACCTCGCGCAAGGCATCTCGGAGCTCAGAGTTTCGAGGATGTCTCAGGCGAAACGGCCCGGACCACCTCTCGCACGGCACCTCGGGGCTCAGAGTTTCGAAGATGTCTCAAGCGAAACGGCCCGGACCACCTCTCGCGCGGCGTCCCGGAGCGCAACTTTTGAGGATGTCTCAAGCGAAACGGCCAATCCAGGCCAACTCAGAAACGAGAAATGTGAGGATGTCTCAAGCGAAACGGCCCGGATCATTCAATTCTTGTGAAGATGTCTCTGCTTCCCCTTCCCTCGGCTGGAGTTAGCTTCTATCACAACAGCACCCCGTTCAGCAAGCTGTTTGGGGAACAATGCAAGTCAATGATTGGGCCTCTTTGGGCTCTCTCGGGACGTCTCTCGGAGCTCTCTTAGAACCTCTTGGAGGCCTCTTGGGCTGTGTGTTTGCCGTCTTGAGCTTCTCTGGGGCCACGTTGGGATCATCAGGGCCGTCCTGGAGCGCCTGAGGGCCTCCCGCTCCTGCTCTGGGGCGTCTTGGAGCTCTCTGGGGCAGGTCTGGGGGCTCCAGGGCCGCTCCAGGGTGCTCTGGGGGCGGTCTCGGAGGCCCCGGTCCTCCCATGCGATGTCGGGGCCCGGCCCCCGGGCCTCTTGGGGCCTCTCTGTTTCCCTTCATCATGCGATCCACGGACGACTGAGCACAACGAAGCGCGCGCACTGCAAGCCGTAGAAACGCGACGGGGAAAAGAAAAGTTTGCCTGGATTTGGGTTCGCCTCCCTTTGTTTTTGCCAATGTACCTCCCTACAGACAGCGGGGCGAAGATGTGTGGCGCCATGCGCATCGTCAAAGGCACGACTGTTAGTTCAACTGCCAGTCATCAAAAGAGACGCGCCAAAGTAGCAAGCTCGGCTGCGTGAACAAGCCTCGCCGGTATGCTGCTGCCCTGGTTGATCACTGCGCAGACCCTCCAATACGCCCCCCCCGAACCTCCCCCACCCACCCAACCTCCCACCCTCCCTCCGAAAAAACCATAATTCCAGGGGGGGAAACCCGGAGCCCGAGGGCTCCGGATTTTTCAAAACTCCTCAAGATCCCTGGAGGAGGAAACCCGGAACCCTGGGGTTCGGGGTTCCAGGAATTCCCGGGGGGGGGGGGAGGAGAAGGAAAGGAAAAGGAAAGGAGAATACGCGGCCTCGGACGCGCTCCGACGTGGCCTCGGACGGCCTCGGACGCGCTCCGACGCGGCCTCGGACGGCCTCCGACACGGCCTGCGATGTGGCCTCCGACACGGCCTCCGACACGGCCTCCGACACGGCCTCCGACACGGCCGCCGACACGGCCTCCGGCACGGCCTCCGACACGGCCCTCCGACACGGCCTCCGACACGGCCCTCCGACACGGCCTCCGACACGGCCTCCGACGCGGCTTCCGAAACGGCTTCCGACACGGTTTCCGAAACTGTTTCCGACACGGCCTCCGACACGGCCTCCGAAACGGTTTCCGACACGGCCTCCGAAACGGCCTCCGAAACGGATTCCGAAACGGCCTCCGACAAAGTTTTCGACCCGGCCCCCGAATCGGCTTCCGAAGCGTCTTCAGAAACGGCCTGTGAAACGGCTTCCGACACGGTTTCAGAAACGGTTTCCGATTCGGTTTCCGACGCGGCTTCCGGCACGGACTTAAGGAGAAAAGGAGGAGTGGGGAGAAAAGGAGGAGCGGAGGGAAAAGGAGGAGAGGAGAAGAAAGGAGGAGAGGAGAGAAAAGGAGGAGGGGAGAGAAAAGGAGAAGGGGAAAGAAAAGGAGGAAAGGAGAGAAAAGGAGATAGGAGAGAAGAGGAGAGGAGAGGAAATGAGGAGAGGAGAGAAAAGGAGGAGAGGGGAAAAAAGGATGAGAGGGGAGAAATGGAGAAGAGGAAAGAAAATGAGGAGAAGAGAGAAAAGGAGGAGAGGGGCGAAAAGGAGGAGAGGGGCGAAAAGGAGGGGAGGAGCGAAGAGGAAGAGAGAAGCGAAGAGGAGGAGTAGAGAGAAAAGGAGGAGAAGAGAGAAAAGGAGGGGAGGAGAGGACATGAGACGAGGAGAGAAAAAGGGGAGGAGAGAAAAGGAATCTCCGGGAATCTCGTTCGGATGTTCTGGGAATCTCGGGGAATCCCTGGGAATATCCGAGGAATCCCTGGGATGATCTAGGAATGTCTGGGGATCTCTGGTAGTCTGTCAGAATTACAATGAATTTGTTAGGGACATCTTCGAATCTGCAGGGACCTGTTTTGAAAATATCTAGGAATGTCCAGGAAGCTCCTCTGGCGTCTCTAGAAACCTCTCAGGAACCTCTGGGCACCTAGAGGAATCTCAAGCAATCTCTGGGAATGAATGTCGAGGGGTGCCTAGACATATCTAGGGATTTCTTGGAATATCTAGGGGTCGCTACGAATCTCTGGGGATGTTTAGGCACCCTCGGGAATCCTGCGGAAGCTTTAAGAATATTCAGGACTGTCCAGGAATCTCTAAGAATATTTAGGACGATCGCGGAAGCTCTTGGCATCTTTTAAGATTATATAGGTTTTTTTTGAGAACAAAAAGAATCTCTAGGTATATTTGAGATCTCTAATGATCCCTACGAATCTCGAAGAATCCCTGGACATCCCTGAGAATATCTGGGGCTCCTGGGGAACGCCAGGAATCTTAAGGGGTCGTCAGGACGCGTTAAAAATCTTTAGAAATCTCCGGGGCTCTCCAAGATCTGGGAATCTTTAGGAACCGACAGGAACCTCAAAGAATCTTTAAGAAACTCCGGGAATGTCTCACCATCGCATGGGATCATTTGGGATTTCTCGAACTGTCTCCGAATCTCTAGGGACGTCTAGGAAGCCTTTCGAATCTCTAGAAAGCTCCGGGAATATTCAAAGATATGTGGGGATATGCAGGAATGCTTGGGGATCGCAACGAATCTCTTGATTTTTTGATATCTAGGAAGCTCGGGGAATCTCCAGGCATCTCGAAAAATATTTAAGAACTTCAAATAATTCCCAGGAAACTCCAGGAACCTTTGGGCAACTGTAGGGGTCGATAAGAATCCCTATGAATCTTCAGGGATCTCTGGGAGACCCCCCGAATCCTTACGGATCTTTGGGGATATCCTGGGGATCTCTGTGGATATCTAAGAATAGGTTGGAATATTTGGGAATATCTCGGAGTCCTTAGGACTACTGGGGCTCTGTAGGACTCTCAAAGAGTATCGAATACTCTCGAGGCATTTCTGGGGATCTCTAAGAATCTCCCCAGCAATCTCTGGGAATTGCATGGCATCCCTTCGAATTCTTAAGATGTCCTGGGAACCTGCTTCGGCTCTCTAGGAATCTAGGTCTCACCAACAATCTCTAGGCATTTCTCAGAAACGTTGGGAATATGAGAAAATCTCTAGGAATATGTCAGGAATATTTCTGAATATGCAGGCATGTATCGGAATCGTTCTAGGGATCTTGGAGCAGTTGTAAGAGTATC